AAATGAAGTGGTTAGAGCAGGGTGACTGGTGTCCTAGGGAGAGATTAGGAAAGAGACTTGCACAGAGGGGAGATCCTGGTGAGAGGGATGACAAACAGCATGGCTTCACAAATAAGTAACCTACTAAGCCTTCAAACTATCGGGACATGACATTAGGGCAGGTGGGCTGGCGCTCCCTACAGCCTTCCTAGAGCCGAATAAATGACAGCACACAGGGGCTCCTGAACATCGCCAGGCAGACAGGTGATAGACTGGCTGCGCATGCAGAGGGCAGCACCGAGTCCTACTGGAGCTATGCACCCAGAACCTAACACGGCACCCGACACCAGAAGAGCTACTGCCACAGAGAGGAGAAAGTCCTTGGGAGAGAGAGAGGCTGGCTAAAGAAGAGGACCTGCCGGATAAGGGGAAACCCACAGGTGACTGCTTATTCTGGCACCTTTCTGCTTGCCCAACCTTGAAGGTCAGGGGCCACTGCAGGGCTCAACACCAACTCCTCCTGCCGCTGCGGGTCCTCACTTGAGCTGGCTGCCCATTGCAGCTGTTGTGGGATGTGGGTGATGACAGCCTGGCCGAGGGGAGTAGCCACCACACAAGGCCTCTGCCTGAGGAGTGCTGGCAAGCCATGTCATTGCCCTTGTCTCAGCTTTGGCCTTGCCTGCCCCTCCCTTGTGCTTCAGGTCGGCCCATGCTGATCCCACTCCCTTTGGTCATCAGCCAACTCAACTGCAGACCAATATTACAGAAAGGCTCTTCAAACCCAATTTTATAGACCTTAGTTCATCTGTGTGGGGACTTCACTGATAAGGAGAAAACTGGTCCCCTAAAACAGGGGTGTTCCCAATTCCTGCAGGCCTAGCCTGCACAAAATAGCCTGTAATTCTGGCACTCAGAGCAGCAGGCACTTAAGGCCTGCAGATGTGCCACTTTGTGAACCTGTGCCTGTGGCTGGCAGAATGAGTCAGAGCACCTGCTACCCTGACCTGCACTGGGCACCCGGGGCGGGAATGCTGGCCAGTTGCTGGCCAGTTTCCAACCCGAGCTGCACGGGCACTGGGAAGCACGGATGATGTGCTTCTGCGTTCACTCTTTGCTCTTGACTAAATGCAAAGTATCCTCCGGGGTTCTGGCAGCAGAGCCTATCGCTGCTTGAAGGCCGGCTGGCTAATCTCCCATGCAGCAGGCTGCTGTGAAGGCAGGTGTAACTCCCCACTGCTCTGTGGCAATGACTTGGCATGTATAAGGGACTAGGATGCAGGGCTCCTTGTGGACACCAGAGCTTCCAACCAAGAAGAGGGGCTCCAAGCGAGGGGTGGGTGCAAACAGCCCCAAATCCCAGCCAGACCTGGTGGGTTGCCCTGGACCAGGGTCCTATGGCTTCAATCCTCACATTCTTCTCCAAGTCCTGTGTTCAGACTGAGGAACCTGAAGCCCCAGCAGGGAACGGTGTCTGACCAAAAGGGAGCCTGGGCCAAGTAAACTAGGCAACAGCTTGTGGCCCGTGGTCCAGCCTGGCTCATCCACATTCCAGGGCCGGCACACAGGGCTCCCCTTCCACGCACGGGCTCCATCTCCTCCAGACTCAGCCCCTCAGCTGTAAGCAGGGAGCAGCTGGTGCTGTGGGCACACATATTCCAGGCCACACTTTATGGGCTCATGGTCAATGTCCTCCTGGGTGTTCGCTCTGCCTAACGAGGACTAAAGGAAGTCTCTCCTGGATTCCTAAGTGCATGATGATTCTACAAATGTCTTTCACTTGTCTTGACTGCCTAGAATCCAGAAATTGTGACTAGTAAGAACTAAAAGGTTGTTAAAGTTTCCCAGAAGCCACAAGCCCAATGAAAGTTAGAGACCTGAGATCTGTCTTTAGGGTGTGAGTGAGAACTCTGGCTACGAGAGTGTGACTCTTCTTGGCAGAGTTGGTTTCCCGGTCAGTGGGGGCAGTGCCTACTGATGTGACAGGGCTGTGGCCATGGCGTTTGTGGACCCTCCTGTTGGTCTGTTCACAGTAAGTGCCCGCCACTCTGCACTGGTGACAGCCATGTGGGTACTCAGTGAGGAGCAAGGATGCGTGTACAGCACTGGAGTGTCCCAAGGGCCAGGCTGGAGCTCCACACTGGCCTCCCTGAATGGGCCAGTTCAGGGGCACTTGGTGGGAGATGGGCTGTGTTCTAGCAAGGCACACACAGTGATGCCCCTGACACCTACACCTGGAATCTTCCTACAATTACGTGCTCTCCACTAGCAAAATTACTGCATGGCTCTGAGTGAAGCTAGCTAGGCCTCCTGTCCAGTCAGCCCTTTGAAGGGTGCAATTTTTTTTAATGTGGGGTTCTTCAACCTGGAGAACTGAGCACTCTCTGGGCAGGCTCCTTGGATGTCAGGTGCATGGGGCTGTCACCCAACCCCGACTCCCCCAGAGGGCCTTCTGAGGAAGCAGGACTCCTAGGGGCAGGAGCCCAGTGCAAAGTCAGCGGCTACAGCAGCATGAAATGCAGCAAACATGCGACAGCTCAGCTTCCGTCTGAGCCTAAGGCCCAAGTGTCTGCTTTGAAATGCAAACAGGAGTTCAAGTCCAAGTCACCAGCAGCCAAAGTAGCTCCAAGCCATGTTTTGTTTAGCTCAGATACTTTAGTTTTCTAATCAGGAAAATTTTCCAAATGAGAAAAGAATGAGTGCAGTGCTTGCAGTCCCACATGGTGAGTCAGCAGGACCCAGAGACTGTGTCCCCACTGCTCCCTACCGACAGCTCCCTGGGCCCTTGGGGTTGCCCTGTAGAGCCAGTGATGAGGCCCTATGGTGCCTCCGCATCCAGCCCCATCCATGAGCCACCAGGGGGTCGGGACTTGGGGACCCCCTGCAGCAAGCAACCTTCATTTGACTCCAGGAATTGCCCCACAGTCAGCACGCTCTGCCCCTGCCCTCCTGGTACTGGACAGCTCTGGCTTTTGGAAGATTCTTTCACAATGAGGGCACTTCAGAAAGGTTAACAGGAGGAGCTGGTGGGGAGCAGGGATGGGAGGCATGGAAGGTGGTGGGTGGGATGAAGGAATCTGAGCAGCAATGTTTAATAAAGAACTAAAAAGTCACAAACAGGAAGCAGCTGACTAAAAGCTGACCTGACAAAGGAATGTGAACTCCAGGGGCCCAGGCAGCTCACACATCCCTCCTCTTCCCTCCCTGCCAGGCTGGGAGAGCAGCAGCCCCCGCCCCCCACTGAGTCCTCCCAGGGACACCCCAGGTCAGTGTGCCTGTGCTAGAGGGAGGGGAGCTCAGGGGCAGCAGCATCCTTACCTCCTAAATGGGACAAGATGCATCCTCCCCTTGCCCGGAGTGGCAGAGAACCCTGGCACTGTCACTCCTGCCATGGGACTGTCCTTCTGGGTGGCCCTCGCCCAGTTCAGGACTACTGGATGTCTCCTTCCCAGAAAGCTCTCAGCATCTGGGGCAGGTGGGCACGGCCGGCCTTCCCGGCTTGGGCACCCCTCATGCTGCCTGGGCCCAGACAGGGCCATGGAAGTGATACTGGGGACAAGCCACACCCAGATTGAGGGGCCCCTGAGGGTTCCCATGGCTAGGGTGAGTGCAGGGCGCTGCTCAGGAGTAGCATGGAGGAAAGGACTGGACGGAAGCTGGCTGGCTGCTCAGTGTTTTAGCCCCAACTTGACCAAGGCCTTAGGTGGTGGTCACACACCCCTTGGGTGGGGGCGCAAAGGGTCCAAGAAGCAAGCCCTCTGCTTGTCATCTTGGCCCTCTGGGCTTGAGCAGGGTGTGTGTGGGGGGTGGGCAGGGGCAGGGACTGGGCACACACAGATACCTAACACCACGTGAGTGTCTAGCATGGCTGTTATTCTTGTTTCTCAGTTGGAGCCATAGCCACCACCTCATTCTTAGCAGACTTTTCCTAAGAAGCTTTCCAAGAAACTATAAACCAACACTGCTTTGCTTGGCCTTGTTCAGCCAAACCAAACATCCCCCTCGCTTCCCAACCTGCATAGGCCAAAGCAGGACCAAAGCAGAGCCCTGGTGGGGAGGGCAGGGACACGCTGGCATGAGATCAGGGAGGTGGCAGGATCACTGTGACCTTCCGCAACTCTGCTATGTGTTTGACAGTGTTGGCAACGTGCCACTCGGGGAAACGAGGTTGTGGATCATAGCGCGTCTACGGCACGCATGCCTGGGTCTCCCGGAGTTCAAGGTTACCTCAGGGCCTGTGCCTTTGTGCTTCCCTCTCTAGCTCTCTGTCCGAAACTCAGGGTATCTCCCTCCCTCTCTCTGTCAGGCCTCTTCTGCACTGCCCTGTCTCCCAGCCACCTTCCAGATAACCCCTCTAGAACAGCACACGCTGCTCCCGCTCGGCCCTGCACGGCACCTGCTGCCCCGATGGGCACTGGCTTCACAGGTTTGCTGACACCTCTCCCACGCCCTTAGCTCCAAAGCCCAGCACTGAGCCCAAATGCAGGCAGAATCAATGCATCAGGGACTGAAGGGATGGCCATTCCAGGGCACTGCAAGGGCTGGGTCCCAGCAGCAAACGTACACTTCTGACCAGCTGTGGGCGAGGCCCGACTCAAGCCTCGGGTGGGGGAGAGGGGCTCTGAACTGAGCAGTGGGCTGCAGAAGGTGGTAAATCAGTTTCCCACAACTGTCCTGGGTGTAGAGGAGGGCTGCCAGGCCCTGGTGGTCTCTTATCCCTTTTCTTCTAAACCATCTATTTCAATACTGCTACCCTCCTACACGGAGAAGCCAAGGGGGCATGTCCAAGGTTATCTCCAGACGGTGATGGATGGAACAGACACTCAGCCCTGACGTTGGCCCTGCTCCAGCTCAGACCCTTCCCAGGACCTGGCCAGCATCTGATGCAACATGGGCTATACCACCTGTGCACCAGCAAAGTCGGACTGGGAGTCTGAGCCAAGGAGCACTGTCTGGGCACCACTTGTGCAACATCGCTGTGTGCTGCATGGCATCCCTTGGCCAGGAAGGACAACTGCACTTACCTGGGATGTGGATCTTGAACTTGCCACTCTGGCCAAAGGCGCTATCAATGACACCCTGCTCCCCAGTGGACAGGTGCACCTTGAGCCCCACGAAGAGCTGAATGTTGGTCTCCTTTTTGAACAGGGAGCGGCCAATCACACTGTAGTCATCCATTGCCTGTATCCACACACCCAGAACAGAGCGAGAGAGAGAGAGAGAGAGAGAGAGAGAATGAATTAGCAGGGTACAATAAGGGCAGCTTCAGGTGATGTCAACTGTGCAAGGTCCAGCGGTGGCCTGGAACCCAACCCCTGATCAGGGCACCTGCTTTAGGCAGCCCACAGCCTACAGCTCTCTCCTTCCTGAAAGCCTTCTCAGACACCACAGGCCAAGGAGATGACACCCACTTCTGAGAACTGGCCTCCCTGCAGCTCTGCTTCCTCCAGCCAGGAGTCCCTGAGAACCAACTTCCAGTTGCCCATCTGCATCCATGCACATGTTGCCCAAGGCCCAGCTGTGCCTGTGCTGGGTCCTGGCCTGGGCCACTTCCAACCCCCAGCCCGCTGCCCTCAATGGCATACTCCCAGTGAGAATTCTTCATAGTTCCCTGCCCCCTGCCAGTCAGCACAAGGCCATGATGCAGTGCTCACATCTCCTGTTGGCTACTATTGTCTTATCACCCCTTGCCTTCCTGTGGGTTCCCGAGATGAAAGGAGGAACACAGGTACATGAAACCACCCTCATCATGAGCTACATGCATCTGGAACCTTCTGGCCAAGGGTTGCCTGGATGAGAAGTGTGATTCCCTCCCCTCTGGATCACTAGCTTCTCCGTGGAGAGCAGCCTTCCCTGCTCTGCTCATATCCTCTCTGCACAGTTTGTTTCTAACAGCAAGCCCAGCTGTGATAAGGCATGCCCACCAAGCTGACAACTGCTGCCCAAGTTACAAACACTCTGAGTCACTGGTTCCACATATAGGAATGCCATTCTACAGATGTGCCTACCCAGGTGGGAGATGAAATGACCAAAGCTACTCATTGCAACCAAAGCTGGAAACAACCTTGGAGTACAGCTAAGGAACAACAGTGTAGCACAGTCTCTGGTGACTGCCCTGTGACTCCAGGGAGGAGCAGGCAGTGCTGGAGGGACTCCAGCAGCCCTGGGGTGTTGTGTTCCATGTTAACAGACATCATGCATGTCAAGCACCCTGCCATGAGCACCAATGGGAAGTGGGGAGATGATGGGAGGGTGCAGGTACCCAGAGCACGTCTCACTCTGTACCTTCCCTACACTTGGCAGTTTGGAATATATAAATGTTATGTCCTCAAAATACAGAATACAAAATGTCAAAGCACTTCAAGAGGCACCTCCTTCTACCCACGCATCAAGCAGACTCTCCAGACACCTGCTGACGGCCTCTCTAGAGATGAGACTGTTTTTCTGGACACTTCTGATGCAGCATGGGTGACACCTGTTATCCCCCTCACTGTCCCAAGATAGTCTTTCTTGAGTCTCAGCGCTTTCCTAGAGAGCAAATGCTCAGGCCCCTGCACCACTGCCCACAGTGACTCACCCCCATTTGCCCTCTTCCCACTGCCATCTGACAGATGCCAACACGACCTCCAAAATAAAAGCCCTGGATGCTACAAGTTCTTTCCTACCCCAGCTGTGCCCTCCTGCACCTGCCACCTCCAGCCAAGCCCAACACTTAGCATGTACAATGAGTGCCTATACATGGGGACTTCTTGGGGGTAAGGATTGGGTCCAATTTAATATGTTCACTAAAAACATGCAATGATTTGCACGACAGTCATTCACTGAGCAGTAGGTAGGATGCATCCCACACGGGCTCTGGGACTAGGCTGCCTGGACTCAGACCTACCAGCTGTATGTGTGAGACACTGGGCAATGTTCGCCTTGGTGTCTCCAGTAGGCAGCATGAACATTTGAAGGGGAGAAGGTCAAACACTTGGGGGAAGGGCTGACAGTGCAAGGAGTGAGTGGCGTGAGAACTGGCTGATGAAGCAAGGGGAGCTAGTGCTCTACCTGCACATGGTCTCTACATGCAGGTGCATGCAAGCGGGCAGATGGGGCACTTTGCACGCAAGTGGCACTGGGAGCTGAGGGGCCACTGCCAGCAGGGTGTCCTGAAGCCAGCCCCCTGGCAAGGATGAGCTGGTCTTGTACAGAAAGGACTAGGTCTAGGCCATGGGGCAGGAGAATCTGTGTGAGGGTTCAAGATGGTGGAGGGGCTACACTTGGCAAGTGTGCTGGACCTTTGAGGCATACTGCTCAGGTCCCAAACTCCCACAGACCATCTGGAGGAGCCTCGGATCTGAAACTGCTTGGCTGCCTCCAAAGAATGTGTCAGTGGGGCAGGAGACAGCTGCAGAGGACAGGACAGGGCCTGCAGGCCCCTGCAGGTGCACAAGGCAGTGTCTTCCAGTGGTAACTGTTACCTGCCCTTTGGGGTCTGGAAGGCTGGGCCTCCCATCTATGGTGCCAGTGTAGCCTTCTACTTACAATAACTGCTGGCTGCTACACCTCAGGAAGGGCCTCAGACACAATCTGGAGGAACTAGCCCTTGAGGGTGCCCGGGCTCAGGCCAGAAGGAAAGGAAGGGCTTGCTGAAAGGGCAGAGCCAGCATGCAGACAGAAGTCCCCAGGGCCAGGCCCATGCTCCACTCACACAGAGAGCTGGGAGGTTTCTGGCCAGGCCATGTGCCCTCCTCAACTTCAGAAACTCCATATGACTCGTACTTCCTGCTTCCTTGGCCTGCCTCCACTGAACTGTTTAAACACTCACACATAGCTCTTACAAAACAGTCCCATTGCTACTATGAACAGAACAGCAGGTGGCCAGAGAAGAAACTTAGTAACAGTGGTGTGAAGGTCTTGTCCATTACGCTCACAGCAATTTCCCAGCATGGCCAGAGAGCTGCTGAGCAGGAAGGGACTGTGGCTCAGTGGGAAGAAGAGGAGGAGCGTGTATGTGTGTGTGTGTGTGTGTGTGTGTGTGTGTGTGTACCAGCTCTCTCCTAGGTGACACCACAGGGCTGCCAGAGTTTCTGCCCAGGGTTCATGGATAGTTCCCATAGGGCTCCCTTGGCACATGGGCCAGGGAGGGAGCCCTGCCTGCACTCAGGGCTTGGGGTAAACAACTTTTGGGAGAAGCACGGTGGCTCCCTGAGCAGTGCGGAGTAGGTAGCCCTGGGCTTGTGGTCTGGCTGTGGCCCACCATGGCAGTGTGAGACCCAGAGGCGCAGCAGTTAGCTGCCTCCACCAAGCCTTCCCACCCTGGAGGTTGACACTGCTGGGGACCTTAGGGCGGTGCTGCAGAGCGTTCATTCCCAGTAACATTGCATTTCTACCCAACACACCACAATTTGGCCAAGGGCCCCAGATGGATTGTTTTGAAAAGCAGAAACTGTCTCATTTACCCTAAAAACCTTTTGGAAAAACAGACCCTCTTCTGGTTGATTCATAGTACTAGATAAAAGGTACTCGCATGCCTCCTCTCCCTGGTGATTGATGAATCGGATACAAATAATGATAAGAATGATAATTTCCACAGGCGCAGCCTTTCTAACTCTCGAGCCTCATTCTCACACATGAACTCCCTTTGTCCTTCAGGCCTCAGCTCCAGCGGGACTCCCCCACGGCTGCCCCTACTCCCCAGCCTGCTGCTGTCTGTGGGTGCCCCACTCCCCACCCTACTGAGCAGCCTGGAGGTCAGTCGAGTGCCTCTTGCTGCTTAGGGAGGACATGGAGCACCAGGGCTGGTGGACAGCTTGGTCCCCCGTGGCACAGGGAGGTCCTTTCTCTTGTTGGACCCAGTGTGCCAGCCTGACTAGGAAGCCAGGGCAGGGTCACGCCCACTGATACTTTACAGTGCAGCCTGGTACAGCAGCTGCCCATCCATTCTGCCAATGAGGGGGTACATGGTGCTGCCTGGTGTCCTGGCTGCCCCTCAACCCATGCTGCCCTCCCACCACCCCTGTCAGCGAGGGGTTTTTATCCTTACTCAGAGGAGGTGCAGCTAAGGCTCAGAAACAAGAACTAGGTGAGCGGAAGTCAAGCCCGGAGAGGCAGCACAGCAGGAACTTGAGGCCAAGCCTGCCAGTCCTTGGCAAAGACCATGCCAAGGAGCCCAAGGGCAGTCCTGGGCCTGGGCTGGAGGGGCTGGCCCCAGGGCTTGGCTCACCTTGGGGACAAAGTCCAGTGAGACAGAAGATGTGCCCTCCAGCATCACAGTGGCCGAACACTTTACAACAGAGAGGATGACCAGGACCAGACAGCAGTCCAGCTGCTGCCCCAGCAGAGTTCTTGGCAGCAGGGCACCATGAGAGCTCACCAGGTGAGCCACCTGTATTCTGGGGGAAACCCTGACTGGTATTCTCCCTCCACTTCACCATCTGTGGACTTTTTTAGGGACAGATGCTGGGCACCCCATCTCTGCACGGCTCCTGGTGCCTGGTACAGCTGGCCCAGATCCAGGCCTGTGCTTGCAGGAATCTAGGCCTGTGGTTCCTGGCTTGCTCCTCCTTGTCCCGTCTTCCTGATCTCTCACCCCACCCTTGAGTTTTCCCTTGTTTATCGCTCCCAAGCGGGACATGAGCTTGGGAAGGCGGAATGCAACCCTCTCGGCTCCAGGGCCGTTCCCTGCTTGTGAATCAGGTGCTGCTGACATCACCCTGTGTACCTGTGCTCGAGTGCGCCTGCCCGCAGGAACACGGGAACTGCTCCTGCAGGCCCATGGCCCAGTGCTGTTTCACAGCCATGCTGAGACAAAACTGATCCACAGCAACCAGGACGGCTTTATAGGCCGTAACCAGATGGCCTGAGCTGTATGTACAGGGGGCTTCAAAACTAACAGGAAAACGCACATGGTCTCTTAACTCCATTTCTCCACCCACTAGATGACTCCCCAAAGGCCCAGCACAGCCAGGGCTGGGCCATGCTGAAGCTAGGAGCCTGGAATTGCATGTGGGTGTCTCCAGTGGGGGACAGGGAGTCATGCACTTGAGTTATTATCTGCTGCCTGTCAGGGTGTGTGTTAGCAGGCTGCCAGATCAGACACAGACCTGGGCCTTGAACCCAGGCTACGATGGAGCGCTACAGCGTCCCCTCCACTGTGGACAGAGGGGACCTTACATTGTCCTGTGAAATTCCCACTC